TATCTTGCTGAAGAGCTGAATCATGAATTTCTACCTCCACCTTATATCCTGTAGTGCGCGCCTTATCAACAACTAAAACCTATGACCATTTTTAGTGGAACATAGCAGATTCATCAAAAGTAACATCACGACTAAAAATAATCTTAGGAGACTTTGAATCAGGACACCACAACCTAAAACCCTTAACACCCGATGCATAACCTAGGAATATGCACTTCTTCACTCGCGGCTCAAGTTTTCCTTAACTAACATGCACATATGCAGGGCAACCGAATATTCTAAGATTAGAATAATCCGCAGGCTTGCCCGACCAAACCTCCTCTGGAGTTTAACAACTAATAGCAGTAGATGGCGACCGATTCACTAAGTAACAAGCCGTATTCACTGCTTTCACCCAGTATTCCTTGTCTAAACCTGTATTGAACATCATATAACGAGCTTTCTTTAATAGGATTCTGTTCATACGTTCTGCCACTCCATTCTACTACGGTGTGCGAGGGACTGTACGATGTCTAATGATTCCCTCCTTCTTGTAGAACTCATTAAATTCTCCTCCATAAAACTCAAGGCTATTATCAATTCTAAGCCTTTTAATCAGCCTCCCAGTCTGCTTCTCAATCAAAGACTTTCACTGCTTGAATGTCACAAACACCTGATATTTATATTTTAAAAAGTAGACCCAAACCTTCCTAGAGTAGTCATCAATGAAGGTCAACAAATATCTAGAACTACCACCCTCGAGGTAACTTGAGAATGTCCTCAAAGATCTGAATGGATATAATCCAAATTACCTTTAGTCTGATGCACTGTTGTACTGAAGCCGACCCTTTTTTGCTTCTAAAAGATGCAATGTTCGCAGAATCGTAATTTTCTTATACTATGTCCACATAAAAGACCCTTCTTACTCAACTCGGTCAATCCGTGCTCACTCATATGACCAAGTCTCATATGTCATAATTTGGTAGTATCAACTCCTAACATCGACGATGCAATTACAGCCGAGCCGGTAACGATAGAATCCTATAAAATATACAAGCTGCCGATCTTCTTTCATTTTATAACCACAAGGGAGCCTTTTGTAACCCTAAGAACTCCACCTTCACCTAAAAAAATTACACCCAATGCTATCAGGAGTGCCTAAAGAAATAAGATTCTTCCTTAAACCTGGAACATGCCTAATATTTGTTAAAGTCCCGATGACTCCATCATGCATCTTAATCCAAATTGTGTCTTTCCCAACAGTCATGCATGAGGCGTTGTTTCCCATAAGAACAACTCCAATATCAATAGCTTCATAAGTGGTGAACCAGTCCCGATTAGGACACATATGATTAGAGCAACCCGAATCCAAAATCCAATCATCCATCCTCCTATTTATATCATCTATAGGCAACAAAATCACATCTTCAACAATATCAACTTCAGCAGAGTCCTCTTTTGATTTTTCTTCATACTCTTCTTATTTATTTTTGTTTTTCAATCTGTAACAATCGGTCTTGATGTTCCCTTTCTTTTTGTAATATCTACATGTCAGATTCCTGTGCTTCGACTTATAACTATTACCTTCANTTCCGATCTTCCTCGAACAAACAAGTCATCAATTTTATCATCACTTTTACTTGTGGTTAAATCTTTGTCAATCTTCTCCTTATTCAATAAGTTCTTTTTGACGTCCTTGATACAAATAGAATCTCGATCGTAAATTAAAGTATCCCTGAAGTGCTTGTAGGAAGGCGGCAAAGAACACTATAACAATAGGGCTGGATCTTCATCATCGATCTTAACATCAATCTTACTCAAATCTGTAATCACAGAATTAAATTCGCCAATATGAGATTTGATGGGTGTTCCTTCCGACATCCAAAGTGTGTACAAACGCTGCTTCAAGAGGAGGCGATTAGTGAGCGACTACGTCAAATACAAATCATCCAATTTAGACCATAAATAAGCGGCTGTATTCTTCGTGAGAACTTCTTACAAAACTTCTTTTATCAAACATAACTAGATCGCTATGAGAGCTCTATCATCCAACTCATTCTAATCTTCATTCGTCATAGTAGCTAGTTTCTTCGACTTTCCGATTAAAGCCTTGTTCAATCCACTCTGTGTCAACATGACAATCATCCTAACTTGTCAAGGTTAAAACTAATGTTATTGTCAAACTTCTCGATATCCCACTTCGTAGTAGTTGTCATCATCTTCTCGTCCGATCTATAGCTGAGGGCTCTGATACCAATTTGTTATGAAAACTCCCCAGGATGAGCTAATATCAATCACACGAGAGCACGAAAAATATCTAGAACACACGAACACAAAGATATACATGGTTCAGCTTGTAGCCTACGTCCACGATCGAAGGACGAGAATAGCTTTACTAATTGTGAGGATTACAAAGTGAAATCTCTTAATCTCACCCCAAAAGCCTAATACAAAACCTCTCAAACCAAGGAACAAAAGATAATATCAAATAGGCTTCACAAAAATCTCTCCCTTCTTGATTGGTGCTCTGAAGATTGATGATAATTATTGGCTTGAAAGACAGTTCTTATATAGCCTTGAAGATCCCCACTCCTTGCTATCTAAGGAATAAGATATCTAATAGGAATAGAAGTACACATGTCCTAAAACCCAACAATAGTCCAAGTAGGAATAAACCTCTAATATGATTAGTTGTGTAAAGTTTAATGTAAGTAGAACTCTTGATCAAAACAAACCAAGCAGAAAAGGAACACCTAAGGTAATATGGATTTGAGTATTTGAGGCAACCTATAATAGTATTTTATATTTTTACGTCTTACAGATAAGAGTAATACAACTTTTATAGTCTAAAAATACAGATTTTGGATGCAAGCTACGTGGATGACAAACATTAGCCACTACATGGAGGGACAATCCCCGTCTATGTATACAAGAAATTTCTAGTTTTTTTCTAATTCATGCCTTGTTAACAACTTAAGGATTGTTTGACATTAACAAGAATTAGGATTGTTTGATTCCGTCACTATTAGTTGGCCATCGTCCACAATTTTCCACTTCTAGACTGGGCTTCCCAAAAGTCGAAGGTATGCGTTTCTAAAGTTGTGAAAGTGCCACAATGACATTCATGAAACACCCCATTTTTCATGGATTTCCAATTTCAGAAATGAGGGGAGCCACCGACTTAAGACACGCACGATTCCCTCACTTCCTCATACACCTCACTGCCACGTGGCACCCCACCCATGCAGAGCTCGCCGAACTAACCAACCTACAAAATGACCGAAGCGCCCCTAAGAAGTTACAATACTCGGATTGGACGATGAATCAAGCTCCGATACCGTATCTCCATCGAAAACGAGAAAAATGACCCCCAACTGATTCCAAAACCCTAATTCAAGGAAAACCCTAGGATCGATGATGATGAGCCACCCCTCAAAGCTCTCACTGATCCCGTTCTTTCTCTCTCTCATATTCGTGATTCTGTTCTACCTCAATACGCGATCGCAGAGGCCGATCACGGCTCTCGACTCTAGTGATATTGATCAGCGGAGGAAGGCGGTCCTCAGTCGATCGAGGATTGCGGTTTGCCTAGTAGGCGGAGCTCGGAGGTTCGAGCTAACTGGGCCTTCGATCATCAAGAATATTTTGAGGGAGTATCCAAATGCTGATCTTTTCTTGAACAGTTGGCTTGATGAAAACTCGTATAAGTTTGTGACATTGGAGAAAGCTCCTCGGATCGCCGCGGTTTGGATCTCAGTGCCGAAGAAGGTGAAGGAGACGGCCGAGGAGAGTAGAGTTCTGACGTCGAATAATTCGCCCAAAGGACTTCAGGTTTATTTTCCCCCACTTCTCCACTTTCTTAGAAATTAAACTTCTTTTTGCTTGATTGTTAGTAAAGGTTGCGGTTTCTTTTGGATTCATGCGCATGGTTAATTTATTAGGTTTCAGGATAACTCTGGATACATGCCATGGCTAGAAGACGAATTAACTAACTAATTAATTAATGAAGTTTTTGTCTTCGTTTAGTTTGGTTAACTTTTGACTTTTGTAGTCTTGATGAGGATCAGGTGGCGGTATCTCCCTTTCATTCCGCTTTAGGTTATTTGAAAGGTATGAAGCTTTTGGAGGATAATCCATTTTCTTATGTTAGTGTTATAGTTTCTTTCCCAATGCTGAAACTTTTTCATATCAAAATAGTTTTTTTAAGGCATACTTTCAATTTATGGCCAATGGAATTTGAGCATAAATTGCTTCAAGTGCATTAGAAGCCGAATTAATTAATTTAGTCTTTTTTTAATTCCTTCTCCTAATTAAAACTTTGTCAAACATGACAAACCTGGTAACTATTGAAAACTGGAAAACTATTTATGTTGGGGATTGGAGACAACGCAATGTGCCCCTTCTTTAAAGTTAGATCATGAGGTTTAAGCATAATTAGGAGAATTCAGTTGAAAACTTAAGATGCTACAAATTAGTAATTTTTCTGAGATGATATAAAATATGGGACTAATTTGTAGAATCTTAAAATTTAGAAGCTTTTAAGCTGTGTTAGCTTTTGGTGGGTTTTGGTTTTTATAACAAAAATTATATAAAAATTGTCTAGGAGAGTAATAATTTGTGTAGTCAAACCGAGCTTATTTAGCTGAGTTTATAAGATAGTTTTTTAAATGCTAGGACATACTAGCTTTTTAAATTGAAGCTTAAATACTAACTTATTTAATATTTTACCAAATAGGTAGTTATGAAAACATTAACTTAAACAGCTAGTTGATCGAAAAAGTAAGTCCTCAAGCTTATTTTTTTAGTCAAACTAACCTTTAAGCTAGCTTTTTCATATATAATTGTGTGTTCAATCATCAATAACCTGGCTTATAAGTCCCTTTTAAAAAAGTTGGGGTTCCCTACCTTTTGAACAACTAGCTTATAAGTTCATTTAATTAAGCTTGGTGTGACCCCACTCTACCCAAATAACTTTATAAGAATTTTATCATAAATTCCAAAAACCTTCAAAAGCTAGATAATTTATAAGCTTCTAAAATCAGACCTCCCAAACACACTCTATATCTCTAAAGTACGTATGTACATTAATTCTTTTGTTTTATGATCTTGCAACGTTATCCTTAAATTTGGGGGCAAATAAATACTATATAAAAAGGATTGCGAGGCTATGTACATTAATTCTTTTGTTTTATGATCTTGCAACGTTATCCTTAAATTTGGGGGCAAATAAATGCTATATAAAAACGATTACGAGGGTATACAAATGTGAAGAAATGGAAGAAAATTTCCATATATATATATATATATATGAGAAATATAGGTATGCTTGGTACCAAGCACAAAAAGTTTATCCATTTTTCCCCATATTAAATTCTAGAGTAGGAATTATAGAAAATTGTCATGAGAAATTTCTTTTACATTCAGATCAATGATATTGGATGGTATAGAAAAGAGAAAATAAAGATACAAAACCACGTTAACAGAAAAACTTTAACTTGCATATTAAATAAGTAATAAAAAATAATATGTTAATACTTAAATTAACAAGTTAACCGATAATTAAACAAAAATAACATTTCGTCAAAGTAGATGTAAAATGATACTTTCCTTTTTTTTTAAATATGTCTCAAATAACTTTTTTATAAAATATTTTGCATTAATTTTCTTAAAACCATATTTCTTATGGCTTCTAAATTTTTTCACGTGTATTATGCATGTGCAATTTCGTCAAAGTAGATGTATAATTGAAGACGTTGGCATCTTTAACATTAAAAGTAACGATACATGAATGTTTTTCACGTCCGCTACTGTGCTAATTAGTCTTTAAAAATGGTAATTAGTTCCACGTAAACCCCCTCATCTGTACCTTCAATGCAGATAACACTCCTCTGTTGATTTATTAGCACTTAGATTTTACGAGGGCCGGGAGATTATATGCGATTTACCTTAACAAAATTGATTCTGCATTCCTCGCATCTTTTCAATATTTTACATCAAACCTTTCCTAAACACAAACTAACAAAAATCCAATTCACCACGCAGGGACTCTTGCAGTACTTCACTCTGGTTGAAGGTTGCCTCGACCAAATCCGCATTCACGAGTCCCGCACCAACACAACCTACGACTGGATCATTCGCACCCGCGTCGACTCCTACTGGTCCTCCCCTCTCACCCCGCTCGCCTTCACCCCCTTCTCACTACGTTGGTCCCAGGAGCTCGCTTGTGGCGGTCCTCAAACTGAACCGATTCGGCCTCGGCGTCGCGCTCCGCTCCTCGCGCCGCCCTCGTCCCGCTGTCCCTCATCTCCACCCCTCAACTCCTCCGCTACCGTAACCTCAACTCGAATCCGCATTCAAGGCCCAACTAGAGGTTACCCCACTAATATACAGTGAGATGAGGCTGCCGTTTTGTATAGTGAGTGATAGGAGGTATGGTTTATCGCGCCGCACGCGAGGTACGGGGTGGCCCGGTGGCGCTATGGGAGTGTGGGGCCGTTGAGCGGCGGCGAGTGCAGGCCGTGCGTGCGAAGTGTAAGGGGGTTGCGTTGAAGAGGTTGGAGGGAGGTTGGAGGGATGTGGAGTTGGATGGACGGGAGGGAAGGGGAGGTGGAGTTGTGGTGATGCGAAGAGGGATGAGAGTGCGGGAAAGGCTGGAGAGGGCTTTTTGATAAAGGCCAGGCTGGGGAAGGCAAGCTGAAAAGGTAGGAAAGCTAGAGTGGGAAGGATGAGGAGGGAGGAGTGTTTGAAGGGGTGGGAGGGGATGAAGAGGAGGGTTGTTGGTGGTGGGGGTAGTTGGGAGGTGCCGGATGTGGAGGTCGTTTGTAAGGTTGGGCTCAAGACTTGAAAGATTTTCATTTTATCATTTTTTTTCAAGGTTTTTGGGAGAGGAAAATCTTGTAAAAAAGATATGATTGGGTGAGGGAAGAAACGTGCACACACACACACAAAAAAAAAAAAAACCAAACGTTATCTTCTGATAGTTTTTGTAAAAAGTTTTTTTATTTAAAAAATAACATTGGCTAAATTTCAAGCCATATGCATATTGAATTTGGATACTCTCCAATATAAAAAAGTAGAACAGAGAATACTACTTTTGATCACAATCATTGATTATCTAGTATATCGTCATGATTCATCCTAAATCTAACACTCATCATATCCCGATGAATTGCACACATTCCAATGTGCACTCAAAGAAAATAATAACCACCCATTAGAGAATCAATGATAAGGATTATGAAATGGTCCCTCCACTATAATTTTGGTAGTAGAGAGAAGCTAAATCCATACATACACATATTAAATTTAAATACAAAAAACAAACTTGTAGCCCCTTGAGAAAATAATTTTGGAAAAATCGTGTCAAGGCCCTAAAAAAGATTTGTTCATGTGCCCTAGCCCTTCGTATTATTTTTCATATTTATTGGGCCCAAATAAATTGATCTTATGTGATTCAGCCCCTATTTGCACTTCACAAGAGAAAAGATCCAAAAAAATTCCATCTATACCCTTCTTCTTCTTCATCAAGTTAATGCTCAGATCTAGTGGTTAATGAAGGAGGAAGAGGAGGATAACAAGTTTTTTGGGACATATGCATTGTTTGTTAAAATACTTGTGATGTGAATGGTCGACATGCAGGTGAAAATAATATTATTTTGGCTAAAAATTTGTGAGTGCCAAGTATTTGAGGAAATGCTATGAGATGTGCCCTCTAACTTGAAAATTTTGATTATTTCTTTGATGAAGTTAATGTGATTTGATAAACTGCTTATCAGACTAGTTTAGTAAAACTTTTATGAATACGATATGTTTTTATGTGTATGATTATGTTTTTTTTAGAAACACACAATATGTTTATTGTTTTGCTTCAACTAGAGAACCTTGGCATATATTGAATTCAATGGTTAAAAAATAGACTAAGCTGTATGAAAAACATGAAATTGTTTATATCTATATAAATGAAACAAAATTGAAGCATAATTCAATTGAGACGACAGTCCATTGACCTCATTTTGTTACGTTTTAGGTTGTAGTATCCAATACATGTTAACTTTAACCAGTACTTGTTAACTTTAGCTAATACATATTAAATATATCTAATACATGTTAACTTTCGTCAGTATCTATAAACTATATCTAATTCCTGTTAACTTTAGCCAGTATTTGTTAACTATATCCAGTAAATATACAATAGTTTTATATATGTTCATGTTAACTCTAATATCTATTTTCTTATTAATTTAGTAGGTGATGAGAAATTATCCAATATATGCATTATAAGTTACTTTAACATGTACAAGTTAAAGGTAACTATTGCATGTTAACCAGAACAGTTTATAGTTAACATGTACCTATAATAATTAAAATATACACGTGATAAAATTAATAAGAACCAGTTATAATTAACAAGTACATGTTATATTTAACATGTACTTGTAATACATGATGGAATCCTATTTTGCATATATATATATATATATCATTATATATATAGTATTATATAATATCTATATCTATTATATATATATATTATATATATATATATAAATTAATACAATATAAAATATATACATATACATATATATACACAAACATGATATATACACAAAACATATATAATAGACATATACATCACCAATATATATATATATATATAAATAGTAATCTTTTCTAAGCAAAACA